GGGCCAGGAGAGGTCTGCCACACCATGTGGTCACCTCCGGGGCAGGCGGGAATCGAACTCATGCGGAGGTGGCTTTAGCTTCTTAGTGCTGTGCTTTAACCCGCTGCGCCACCAGGGAGGGCCCTTAAGACTTTTTTAACTGAATAAACCAACTTTGCTAAAAGGCGATAACAATACCTCAGCTCTTTGGCAGAGAAATTTAAAGATTTAAACAGTGTTGGAGTAAGTCACAGAAACTATTTGGTGCTTTAATTAGTTTCTTCCTATGTAAGCAAGAATTCTAGGATATTGTCATCATGCAGTCAGAATTTCCAGAACCCTAGTTATTTCCAGGAAGTAGCAATCTGTTCAGAGCTGCTGCCTGGCATAAACTTGCTCCCAGACCTTGCAGACTTCTCTCCTTCCTGGCCTAAGGCTTCTCCCATAACAAGCTCCACCAGACCCAGCCAGACCAAGGAGCCACCTAGCTTGATCTCCACTTCGCATTTACTGATGCTTAAGGTACTGGGGCAGCGCTTTGGGCCTGGCTTTGTTCAGATGTCAGTTGAGACAGAAAGAACAAACTTGGACTAAACTAGGTGCTAGTGGTCAATACAAGTTCTGCTCAGTGAATGTTGATGACAGCAAATTGCAGTAGAGGGGCCAGACTCTAACTGAAATCTTTCACTATAAAACTGCTGAAAGTGAAAGCCTTCCACAAGCCATTTGCACAATTTTCAAATTAACCAGAAAATAGTTCCCCTCTAAATGAATGAAATCATTCTAGAGTATGTGTTGAGATTCACACTGACTAGTAAATATCTAAAACTAAAAAAAAACCCTGTACTCCATCAAATATCAGTGGCCTAAGGAAATTTGCTGATTTCTTATCATTGTTAATAGGTTCCTCCAGATTTATCAACCTCTAGACAAAATTTATTTTTTAAGAAGGTCTTTAAATAAGTAGACAGGGCCATGCTATATCCAATTATGCCTTTTCTATTTATTTTGACATGTTTCTTTTTCTTTTAGTTATAAAATTATAGAATCCTTACCCATATTATAAAGACAACATAGTAAAGCAAGAAAAGCTATAAAGAAAACAGAACTAGTCTCAACTTTGCCATTCATTTTATGAACTGAGAAAATCATACTCTTTCTCTGAATCAATTTCTTCATCTATAAAACAGAATATTACAGCATCCTCCTGATGATGGCTTTGCCATTAGCATGATTTTAAACATATGTATGTAGAAAGTCTAAAGTGCTATAAAATGCAAATATAAGGTAATACCATTTATGAATCCTACATATTTTAATTTTCTATATGTTAACTATAAGCTATATAAAATTGCTCTCATAGATATATTAAAAAGGAAAAGTCTACTTTTTTCAAAATAAGAATCTCTACATATAATGCTGCCTGATTTTTTTTATACTTAAAACATTTAAATCATTACAAGCATGATTTTTTTAATTATTATTATAACAGTTTATTTTTACATCATTTTGTACTTTTTTTTTTTTTTCATTTCAATTGTAATCCCCGCGGGACAAGCATGATTTTTTTTATGTCTTTCTTGAGGTAGTGTTAAGATTTGTGTGCAAAGATCTGCTTGATACATAAGATTTTGTGTCTTCTTGACACCGTGTATCAATTCCTTCAGCTAATTGATTTCATTCAAAACAAATTAATTATCTGAACAACTTAATTAAATCAGTTATTTGACATAAACTATTGGTTCTTAATCTTCTATAAATTACTTCACAAGCCAGAAAATCCCATGTATTAGTCATTTATCCCTGTGAATAAGAAAAAAAAATAAAAGCTCAATTGTCACTTTTTGTAAGTGCTTGATAGTTATACATAGCATAAAATTTACCATTTTAACTATTTTTAAGTGTACAAGTCACTGACATTAAGAATATTCAGTGTGGTGCAGCCATTACTACTTCCAATTCTAGCCCTTTTTTGTTAGCCCAAGCTGAAACCTTCCACCTGTGAAACATGAAATCTCCAGCCCCCCTCCCACCAGCTCCTGGGTCCTAATTTCTCTATGAGTTAGATTACTCAAGGTAACTAAGTAAGCTGAATCATATGCTGTTTTTCCCTTCTGTCTTGCTTGTTTCACTTAGTATAATCTCAAAGTTCATCCATATTGTCGGAATCTCATTCCTTTTTAAAAATGAGTAATGGTCCACGCTATTGTATGTACCACATTTTGTTTGTGTACTCACCTGTCCCTGTATTAGCTACCATTCTTGACAGAGTTATGAGTTTCTGGTAGCACAGTTTTCATGGTGAACTCAAAAGTAAAACATCTTTTTTTAAATATTGATCCTGTAAGTGAGCTCCTGCACTTGGCTATAAATAACCAGTGTAGAACAGTGTAGAATCTGCACGAATGAAGATTTTGTTGATTTGCTGTTAATGCTAAATGTAGCTCTAGACATAATTTAGGATATCAAATCTTAGCATTTCTGTAAAATATTTCAATGCAATGATTTTCTTTTTTCTGTTACAGATCCTGACTTTACTTACTTAGGAGGTATTTTAAATCCCATCCCAGGTTTAGTATATTACCTCTTTTTCCTCATGGAATTTTGGATCAGTCTTATTTTCCTTTGAACTTCATCCATCTATTCTTTCTAGATTGCCAGTTTGAACTCTCAGGAGCTGATGGAATAGTACGTTCTAGTCAGGTAGAACAAGAAGAGAAAACGAAACCAGGCCAAGCCGTTGACTGTATATGGACCATTAAAGCTACGCCCAAAGCTAAGGTATTCTTGCATATTGAGTCACTTCAGAGAAGAGCACACTAGACATGATTTGTTTAATGTATCACTCTGACATATACAAATGTTTACTGATAACTATTTTAAACATTCATTTCAGTCACATTCTAGGTACCTCCTAAGATCTCAGCATTGTGTGGTTAAATAAAATAGAATATATGTTTTAAAAGTCCCACATGTGCATTAGATTCTCATTTTAAGAATTCTTATATTCTTAAAATCTCAACATTCCCAATAGAGAGCATAAGTATTGTTCACTATGATCATTGTCCATTTAAAGCTTTTTATGAGAAGGAAAACAGTCCACGTGGGTTGAAGCATCCTGTTGAAGGTATTAGTGTTAGTCATAGTTCTGTAAGAACCAAAACACAAATACATTGTTCTTAGACCTGTGTTGTCACCATGCTGCTCAGATGCAGCTTTTATTGGAAAATAATACAGGGAGGGATGTTTTTAAAAACTCTGACATATCGAGATTGGTTGTTAACTACGTTTACCTCTTGCTGTTAAATTTCTACTAGGAATATCAACACAATTAAAATTATATTTAGTGTGTATGGACATAAAATGAGGGCAGGAGAACAAACCCTTAAAGCATTAGGAAAATGTAATTTATAGTTATGATCATATGAAGGATTAGATAACCTGAAAACCTACTTGTTACAAAACACCTGGAGACACTGGATCGAATATATAAAATATCCTCTTGATGTGATGTATAAGGTAATTCATGGGCTATGGAAATGAAGAGTGAAAACTGTAAACTAGAGCAATAAACTGACATTGGCGCTACAAATATCCACTGCTGACCTCAGTAGCCTTTGACTGTCCAGGCAGAGTGTGCGGGAGCTTGGTGTCCCCAGTCTCAGTGGGACGGGGAGGGGAGGGGTGAGGAGCACAGTGAAAGGCCTCGGTGCTCTGTGCCTCTGTACTCACATGAAGCCACAGCGACGGGAGCTGCGTGCCATGAAATGGCCAGTTAGAAAGATCTTCCACTACAGCAGGTTGGTTACAAAGCAGCCTGCCTGTCTTTCTAGGTTTGTTTTTGGGGTGGCATGTAGGTGGGGTCTCCTCTAAAACTTTATACCTAGAAGCCTGTTTTCTTTAGCGTTTGGGATATGGAATTGCTAATCCTCCATATTAGCAAAATGGTTCTGTCCCCAAATTAACAAAACTCCCCAAACAAGAATAAAATGGTCTTCATTCATACCCCAGTTACATTGGGCACCATAGACAGCAAGAAATGTCTTCCAAACACTAAAGAGAAAAGAGTCCCTACAAAGGGACAACATCAGCATCATCAATAGTGAAATAGTAGATTGTCATGATGTACTTTTCTGGTTTTCAAGCAAAAATAGGCAGTGATTTTTCCGACAACTCAATAGAAATAAAGACAATGTTACAGTGTCTTCAGGTGAGCTCAGGAAAACAACTGGCAAGCAAACATTCCACAGCTCCATATTCTACTAATTTGTCCTTCAAGACTGAAGTAAAATTGAATTTCTTGACAAAAATAATAATTGGAGAAACTGCTATAGCTAAAATCCAGATATTCTGTTTCAAGAGGAGTACAGGAAATTTTGTAACTATTAAAAATAAGAAATGTTAGATACCAAAAAAGAGCTGATATTGCTATTAAAGTAGAAATGAGGACACTGATCTGTAAGGAAGATATAATAATTTTAAATGTATGTACTAACATGACTTCAAAATGAGGAAAGCATAAGTTGATACTTGCCAAGGATAAAAGAAAAGTTGAGCATTAAAAAAATCAGTCATAGGGGCCCTCCCTGGTGCGCAGTGGGTTAAAGCACAGCACTAAGAAGCTAAAGCCACTTCCACATGAGTTCGATTCCCGCCTGCCCCGGAGGTGACCACATAGCGTGGCAGACCTCTCCTGACCCGCCCGCTGCTTCCCTCAGCAGTGTGCTTCGTCAATCTGCCTGTTCTGCTCCCCACTCTGTCTCTGGTGAAGCCTCTCGCCGCCCCTGAGCCTCTGGCCTGTACCCCAATTCTGTATGCACAAATAAATAAATCTTTAAAAAAAAATCAGTCATTAATAAGCATAAAAAATATTAGTAGGGTACAGCACATGAACTAGTATACCTAATGGGACATGGTGCATTGCTCCCCAAATCTGGAGAACATACATTCTCTACAAGCATGCATGACATGTTTTTTTTTTTTAAAACTCATGCATACATTAGAGTAAAAATGGACGCCTGAAATATGTCAGTGCTTGATAGCATGCAGAGCCTCATCTTAAAAAAATGCAATTAAATTAGGAGCCAGCAAGCAAAAGATAGTTTTAAAGCCCTCATATGTTTAGAAATTTAATACTATACCAATTTACCAATTCATTAGTCACAGAAGAAATCAAGCTATAAGTTGAACACATTTGAAACTCCATTTTTAAAATGCTCAATAATAATGAAAATATTACTCATCAAAACTTAAAATAGGGCCTTCCTGGTGGCACAAGGGGTTAAATCTCAGTACAGTGAAGCTATCAGCAGCCACTACAGCATGAGTTTGATCCCCAGTCAGGTAGCTGACCTCCATGGTGCAACAGACCTCTTCTGTCTCTCCGCTGCTCCCCTCAGCAGTGTATTTCATAGATCCACCTGTTCTGCTTCCTGCTCTGTCGGTGGTAAATCTTCTTGCTCCCCTCCAACACTTCGGGTCTATACCCCAGTTTTTGGATGCATAAATAAAATCTTTATTTTTCTTTTAAAGATTTATTTATGCATTACAGAACTGGGGTACAGGCCAGAGGTGCAGGGGCGGTGAGAGGATTCACCAGAGACAGAGTGGGGAACAGAACAGGCAGATTGATGAAGTACACTGCTGAGGGGAGAAACGGGCGGATCAGGAGTGGTCTACTGTGCTGTGGATCACCTCCGGGGCAGGCAGGGATCGAACTCTTGCTGAAGTGCTTTAGCTTCTTAGTGCTATGCTTTAATGTGCTCCGCCACCAGGGAGGGCCCAACATAAATCATTTTTTAAAAAAACTTCAAATAGCATTTTGAGGGAATTTATGACCATAAATGCTTCCTTTGGAAGAAAAAGATTTAAATTTATTTAGCTATGAATCAATTCCAAAAGTTAAAAGAATAGCCAGAATCCAAAGAAAGATCAATCACTAAAAAATACAAATGAAATATAAAAGTTTAAAAAATAATCAGAACCTGGCTTTTTGTAATATCAAATATAATACCTTAAGGGTACCCTAAACAGATTGGTCTAGAAAAAGAAGACCTAACTTAGAAATGGAGAAGTCATAAGTCAATCACAGCAGAAATCAAAAACTTATAAGCTAACTGTGAAATAAATATAAGCAAAAGACAAACAGCCAGAGTGTCTCTTCAGTAAATGAGAAAGGAGTAGAGGAAGGCGAGGGGGAGCTAGCAGGGAAACATAGATTAAAGAATATGAAAGTCTGATGTACCTGTGACTTCACAGGGGAACTATTAACATTAGGAGACAGTTATAATTCTGAACATTGGTATTTGATACTAAGAAGTTGTTTGGTTTGAGGTTATTTTTAAGTGATCTTTCACAATGCATATGGAACTGTTTACACTTGAAATAGCACTTGAATTTGACTCAAAGTAATAACATGAAAGGCAGAAGTGGGGAGGGTGCAGTGGAGTAAGGATCGATTGTTGCTATTTTGTACAGCTTTGCATGCTTGAAATTTTATAAAATTTTTTTTCTAAGCATTAAAAGGAGTATTACAAGTAAATTATTTGCTGGTAAGTTTACAAAGAGCCTAAACAGGCAATTTCTTAAATAGATAATTTGTTTATATGTTTACATGTACATGAAAATAAAATCATCAAAATTAAGAATTTTAAGTAAACTTTTATTAAATTTACACAATTTTATATATAAACTATGTTAACAGAGGAGCAACAGACTACAAAAAGTAAATATTAACAGACCTAAAAGGAGAGAGAGACAGCAAGACAATACTCATTGGCCCTTTAAGACTCCAGTTTCATCAGTGTGTAGATCATCCAGACAGAAAATAAAACGTTAGTTTTACTTGGCACCATAGAATACATGGACTCAGCAGGCATATACAGAACAGTCCATCCAAAAGCAACAGACTGAACATTCTAATTGATTCACATGTAACAGTCCCCAGCACACATCATATACTGAGCTACAAAACAAGTCTTAATGAATTTAAGAAAGTCGAAATTATATGAAGCAATTTTTCTAACCACAATAGTAAGAATCAGTTACGAGAAAAAAACTGGAAAATTCACAAATATGTGGAGATTTAAACAAGGTGCTTTTGATCAATAAACAGGTCAAAGATAAAATCAAAAAGTTATTTTTGAGGCAAATGAAAATGAAAGAAAACATACCAAAACTAATAGGATGCAGCAAAAGTGGCTTTACAGGTTGTTCACTACCATAATCATCTGTATCAAGAAGGCCTCAAACTACCCATAAATTCCCCTCATTGAAGTAGAAAAAGAACAAACCCAAAGTTAATAGAAAAAAGGAAGCAGCAAACATAAGAGTAAAATTAAATAAAATCTAAACAGAAAAGACAGCAGAAAAGCAATAAAACTAAAGGCTGGTTTTTTATTTTAACCCATCACTGTTGGAATTTATTATTTTTATTTACATATATATTTACATCATTCTTCATTTTTGTACAAAGTACACTTTCTCCTGTCAGCTGTGGTCCCTGTGAAATTCTCACCACCAGTTCACCTGTGCACCATCTCCGTAGTCCCCTATGCTTTTCCCACCCATTAATCCTTCCCCTTCCATCTCCCCTGAATGTCTCTGATTTATAGTTGTTGTTTTCACACCAAAAAAATTACAAACTTTTTAACTAGAGTCACTGAGAAAATTGTGAGAACTCTCACTAAGTGACATTTCTGAAACCAAAAGACTGAATAAAAATACTCCCTAAACTGGACAACCTAGAAGAGATGTATAAATTCCTAGAAACCTACGACTTA